GTTATTTTTAGCACATAGTAAGTGCTCAGCATATAACAGCTTTTATTAATATGCTGCAGATTCAAAGAAATATATTTGTTATGCTTTAGACATAACTTTTCATAGGTATTAGTATAAAAATTCCAATATATGGTATTCTCAGAACTACCTTTTCCTATAAGTTTTTATATTTGAAATTTTGAATTATGAGGACTTATTTTACTGATAGAAATGAAACTTGAAACGAGTTATCTTTTTTTAAGAATTTTATCTTCTATTCACTTTTGCCCAGATATTTCTAGTGAGCTACAGTTTTGGAGCTATTACTGAAGCCTAGATTGTTGCAGTTCAGATCATAATTTTTTCTATTATAGGCTGCCTTTCTATTACTGTCTTTCCAAGTGGTTTAGAAACTGGTATTAAAAGAAATTTGACATAATTAATCTCTTAATACAAAGTAGCAAACTAGAAGCTCTAGATATGATTTGTTGGGTCTCTTCAGCTTTTTGAAAGGAAAGCAAGTAGGCTTAATTTCAGTACAAATAGATAGATGCATACTATTTCCACTTGATTCTTTTTGAGTTTTGTTTGTTACTTCTTGGCCTCTGAAGGTATTTGAGTTTGTAATCACTCTGTTTAATATATTTCAAGAGTTTTTGTTTTGCTTTTAAAGTTTTCATATTATATGTTATTCCTATTAAAAGTTTTTGCCAAACTGATTTATAAAGTTCTTCAGGGAAATACTAACTGTTTTTAAGACCAAACAAATTTGGGAAAAACTGTACTGAGTACTCCCCTGGGGAAATCATAATGCTTATTAGCATATTGCATAATTGTGGTGGCAATCTGTTTAACTGTCAAACTTATCTTTCCTAAATTTTTCCAATGTTTTTTTGTTAAGGGATTCTTCTTTTGGGGTACTTCAGTTGTATGGGATGTAGTTTGAGAAAACACTGGAATTAATTCAAGAGAAACAGTTGGGTTTGTTTATAACTTTATTGAGATATAATTGAAATATAATAAAATGCACATATTTAACATCCACACTTACCCTGGCTGGTGGGCTCAGTTGGTTGGGTATTATCATATGCACTGAAGGGTGGTCAGTTCAATTCCCAGTGAGAGTGGGCTTGATCCCTGGCAGCTGATCAGTGTTTTGCTCTCACACAGATGTTTCTCTCTCTCCCTCTCCCTTTTCTTTCTAAAAATCAATTTAAAAAATCGTAAAGAATAAAAATAAAAACTACACTTTGGTCAGTTTTGACATATATTCATCTGTTAAATGACACCACAATCAATAAAACAAACATTCCTATCATCCCTAATGTAATTCATTCCTCCGCTCTTTCACAGGCAACCACTGGTCTCTGCTGTCACTATAGATTGGTTTGCATTTTTTAGAATTTCAAATCCTTGTTTTTGAAGATTTAAGTTATAATCTTCAGATAATTTAACCTATAGATATCACTGTTTCAAACTTATATGGCATGGTATATTGTAAACTTAAAAAACCATTTAGTTAAAATCAAATGCAGATGAAATTTTTTCTGAATTTGAGTCTGAAAAATATCATTACTCTAGTAAAAATAAAAAATTAATTAACTAGAACTTTATAAGGAACCAGAGACAATAACTTCCTTTCTTACCCGCCATCCATTACTAAGATTAGCATACTCAAAGCCTTCTCTAAATCATCTTAAAACACACCTAAACTACTCTGTGCTTAGTCTTAGGAAAAAAACAAACTAAAAACATCGGCCATTTAATATTTACTTCTTGCCCTTTGCTGTCAGTTGCCAGATAGGAAAAATCAAGTAGAGGATAAAAACTATCTTTTTAGGGGGCGGGCTAAAACACAAAAAAAGATCTTTTTAAATTTTGTCAAAATATAATTTTATTAGGGAAAGTGAGATTTAAAAAAACAGTGAATTTGATCATACTAATGTATTTCAGCCAAAAGTATCACTTACATTTTTCTAGTTAATGCTTTTTAAATAGTTCATAGGTTTAAGTTGCTTAATAACTAGCAATTCTAAAAAATCTCCCTTCAACTTTATACTTAGCTTTTGATGTTCTGTACTAGAATGGAAAGTACAAAGTAATAAATGATAAATGTAATTTATATTTTATAACATAGATGAATTTTTTTAACTTTGAATCCAGCTGTACTTTACCTTCTGGGTATGTACAGTGTTATTTAAAAAACACTTTGTTTTTCAGATGAAATTCAGTGCCCAGTGAAGAAAAACTATTGAATTATTTCAATCATGGCTATTTAAATATTAGCAATTGAAATAATAAAATGGTGAAATATTAATAACATTAAAAAATTTTAATGTCCCATCCAAATTGAAATAAATGCTTAAAATATGAGATACGGGAAATGTATTGCGTAGATCAAACTATCAGGTGCTTTACTCTTATAGATTGGTGTTGGGAGTGTAAAATGGTATAAGCTGTGTTTGATAATACCTTAAAAAGTTAAATATAGTGTTACCATATGTATCAGCAATTCCATTCCTAGGTATTCATTCAAGAGAATTGAAACATATGCTCATGAAAAATCTTGTACAAATCATTTCTTAGCAGCATTATTTATAGTAGCCAAAAGGTAGAAACAAGCTTAATGACCATTGACTAGTTAATAGATAAATAAGATGTTGTATAGTATACATACAATTAATATAAAATGGAAAGAAGTTCTGGTACATACTACAACATGGTTGAACCTTGAAAACATTTTATGCTAAGAAGCCAGTTAGAAAGGATGACATAAATTGTATGGTTCAATTTATATGAAAAATCCAGAATAGGAAAGTCTACCAGGGGTCTTCAAACTACGGCCCGCGGGCCACATGTGGCCCGCAGAGGAGTCTGATCCGGCCCGCCAGGTTTTTTGGGCAGTGAGCTCAGCCGAGGTGTTACAGTAGGAATTAGTAGTTCATATAGTCCGGCCCTCCAGCTCTCTGAGGGACCGTGATCTGGCCCCCACTTTAAAAAGTTTGAGGACGCCTGGCAGAAAAATCAGTGGTTGCTGGGTCTGGGAATAGGAATGAGGAATGACTGTTAATAGGTATTGGGTTTCTGTTTAGAGTGATGAAAGTATTCTCTATATTGGTGTGGGTTGCACAACTATGAAATACTTACAAATCTTATAAACATCTGAAGCTTTTTGTTTTCTAATCTTTATAGTATTTGGGGAAGATTTTCTTTTGATTTATCTTATATGAAGTCATTAGTGTTGATTTCTAATTTTGTATTTTGATTGACTCCTTAAAAATGTGAGAATATAATAGTTGAGTAAAGTATTTTTAAAATTAAAGCCTTACAGTATGGTACTATCAGAAATGCACATTTCCAGACCTAAGCACTATATGCCATTAGTCAGTTTTCTGGCTGTGTTTGTGAAATCTTCCTCAAAGGTATCTCTTCTGTCCACATTTCATGAATAGGCTACATTAGCTCTTGAATGGATATAAACCCAAAATGAAAGTGGTTTCTCTGTGAAACTTTTCCCCTCCTACTAAAGATCTTCTCTTCTCAGTCTTGTCTATTGGAATTGAAAGAGCTTTTAGTTATGTCATAGCCATGTGGCTTAAAAGAAATTGACTGTGTATTGATGTAATTATCTTTAGGAGGAGAGAACCATAACTTTTTTTAAAGCAATGATTTGAATTATAGGAGCTTTATCTTTCTGTTTATACTTAATACCATAACCCGTTAGGCAAAGTGGATCCTTTAAGAGAAGAATTCTGTGATACCTGCAGTTATTGTACTTTGGTATAAAAGTATTTTAATAATTCCTTATCCAATTTTCAAATACTAAGAATATTTTGAACCAGATGCTTTTAATGTCATGTCTTCTTGGAACAAACTGCTTTTACTAATCTTGTACCATAAATAAAAATACAAAGATTATAAAGTTATTCTAATTAGTATTTTACAATGCTGGAAATCAAACCGATGTTTAATTGATTTTTTATTTTTCCATTTTTTTTCTTAACTAGGTCCTTTCTGATGTTGCTTGAGCTTATTCTTCTGCAGTTGATCTCATTCCTGTTGGCTAAATATTAAGTCCCATGACAACATTAAGTTAATGCTCATTTGTTTTAGGCCTCATATATAGTTCTAGGAAATATAAAAACAAACTTTTATCTGTATATTAGATGACCTAATTCCTTTTTGTTCATTCTTAAAAACATCATAACTTCTATAAATAATTGTTTTATAGTTATTGTCACACCTATGACTTATTCTGTACTAAAGAACATAGTTGAGTTTTTGGAAAGTATGGGATTTACAAATTTGGTCTTTAATATTCACACACATCTATAAACATTACAATTAATGAAGCAGGAAATTATTGCTGCATAAGATGAATGTTTATTGTGAAGCAGTAATATTTCAAATGTAATTGTTTTTCTAAAAATTTGGTTAAATTTTTGGATTTTTCTATACCATAAGTTGATAATGTTTTTTTTGAAGTTTACTTTATAAAGATGATTCATTTTACTGTTTTATGGTACCAGTAGGATGCTAATATTAAATTGATGTGTTGAGTTATATAAATGTTTATATTAGTATTTAAATAATGAAATATTGGACAGTTAGTTTTATAGTCCAGGAGTGAATGTTTTTGCTGGTTTGATACCTAATACAGTTTCCAAAAGAGAAGCAAATATGAATTTGCTATTTTTATCTTTAGAAATCAGAGATTTTTTGTGATAAAAAAGACACAAAACAATTAATAGATATCTAAGAAATAGATATCCGAGAATGTATTTTAGTAAGATCTCTGAAGCACTGTCAGTGAAAGAAACATAATACTGATTGATTAAACACTCAGGATTTGCCATGCAGTGAATACTGACACAGTTTTAACCAGCAATATAGTATTGCCAGGATTTTGAGTGTTACAACATTATGTTAAACAGTGATTATAGTTTTAATGCTTTGTCTCTTTGAATTAAATTTGTATCCATAAAGATGTGCAGCATAATTGTTCATGTATTTATTTACAGACTACAATTTCCGTCGCAGCTCAATAAATAGTCTTTCCCCTGTTAGTGCTACCCTCTCTTCTGGGATTCCCAGCGTGCTTCCTTATACTTCAAGGCCTTATTCTTATCCAAGCTATCCCTTATCACCAACAATATCACTTGCTAATGGCAGCCATGTTGGACAGCGACTGTATATCTCCAATCAGGCCTCATTCTTCTGAAGAAATACTGTAAACATGAGTATGAAAGTTTCTTTGTAAAGCATGCTAATTAAAATACTGTTCTATTTTAGAATTGGGCTTGCACTTTTGGTTTTAAAATGATAGATATATATTTATTTCAACAAATGAGCCATAATTCAGAATTATCCACCGTTGTTAGAACTTATAAAAATGTAAACTTTTGCCACTTTAAATACTTCTATCGATAATTCATGAGCAAGCAATAAAACCCATTAGTTTATGCTAAATTTTTGCATAATAACTTTGCTATATAGCATTTCACAATATTAAAGCACTTGCAGACAATGGTTACACTGGATTTGATTACCAAGGATCACTATCTGTCTTAGAGATGAGAACAATTATAACCAGAAGCATCTAACTATTATGTAGAAAGAAATGAAGGAGATAAAGAGAAACAAATTTTACTCGGTACTAAAGAAAAAAGCAATTAACCATTGTGGTCCTTGAACTATTAATATTTTAGTTAATTATTTGTTATAGAAATAAATCATAATTTTGCTGTTAATGTAGTTAAGGTTTATATGGTTATACTTGTGTTTTTGATATTCACTGTGTAGTTGTTTGAGTAATAAGTGTTATGGTTATTTAATGTTGAAATCATGTGTTGTTTAATTTTTGTACTTGAATTCAAATTTTTGACATTAAATATGTGATGTTTGAATATGCATGTGTGTTTTTTTTTATTAGTAGGCACAAAAAATTAGCTCTCACAATCACTTGACTTTTTCTCGAGAAGAGTGTTTACTGGGTGTACAGTCATAGGCTCTGTGTCTTCCTGGGACCAAAACAAAGGATATTCAGAAAGTTGTTGGTCTTATGAAATACAGTGATAAAATTCCTTTTCAGAGGCCAGTGGAAATATTTTGTTGTGGAAATATTTTGTTGATGAACCCAATGAAGTTTCCTAAATAATTAATGAATCAGGTCATTTGATTGTTTAATATTTCAGTAGTGTACATTCATAATGAATTTCTATTGATGGTTTGCATCATCAATAGAGACAAAAATACATTCTTTGATACTGACATTAACTTTGTTGATCAGTTCATTGTGTAGTTGTATGACACAGGATTTGCATACATAGAATATTAAATTGTTACAAATATCTCTCTTAATAGGAGAAATTTAATAGTTTCTAGCACAAGTTTTATGGAGAATAAATTAGTCTAATTTTTTTTCATCCTCTAAAGAAAGTCCATTTCATATAACCAAATGCAGTAATTAACTTTCCAAGTTACTTACTACCTTAGGTTTTCTAATTTAAATAACCAAATATACTGTACTTAATATTCCTGTATGAATTGCATGAATTTTATAATTATCATGACTCAGGTTCATATCACTCTTCAGCAAACATACAATGAATGACAGTTACTGTGTTAATATCCTTAGGATACAGAGGTGACTCAGATTCCAAATCAAAAGAAAAAGACATTAATTTTTCTTAGGAATGTTTGGAGTGGCCCAAATCATAATAATTACAAGTTCCCACATTGCTTTTTCACCTTGAAAAATAAACAGTTGAGGAGCTTATCAAGCGCACTGTGTATTTAGAGTTTCTTGGTAATGTGATAGGAAACTTTAATATCAGATTTGATGACCACTTCTGCCAAGTAACAGCTCTTTGAGCTTGGACAAAATTTTACACCTGTAAAATAGTGATAAACACTTTATAATGTTAAAGGTAAAATATCTGCCAGATAGAAGGCACTCAAGTGGTAGCTGATGCTATTTGGTATAATTACACAAGGTGGGGCAAAAGTGAGTTTACAGTTGTGCGTATGGAAACACTAGTAAATACAAGAATAAACAGTTTGGGTACTCACAACTACAAACCTATCCTGTGTAAAGAATGTAGTATTCATTTAATTGTTTTTCATTTCTTTTGTTCCCTTCAACCAGAAATCTAGAAATCCTGACATTCTTGTCAAACACGGTCCCTTTCTATGATATTGTTGTGGTTGAGCAGTTAATTTTTGTCATCCTGTATATGAACTTCATTTGGCTTGTGAACAGCTACTAGTTATCTGCTGCTTTAATTCTTATAAAAGATCTTTGATTCAAATGAGGACTTCCCTAGTCAGTTGATCACAAGCTATTATTGATGTCTCTTCTGAAAATATCCCTTTATCAAAATCTTTGTGCAATTTTTGTACAGAAAGTTTGATTTTTATCTCATTTGCTTTTACAATGTTGGAGAAGAAAAGATTTCTCTGATTCAAGTTCTAGAAGCCATAATAAAAATGGTAGATAGGTCCAGTTTAAAGGAAAAGCCTGAGTAGCTAGAAAGTACCAAAGGTTATATCAAAAAGCAAGTGATAAACATGGAAAATAATTGGAACTTCTTCACAAAAAGCTAATCTCAAATATTTCCAAGTATCAATAAGAAAAGACCACTCAAGAGAAAAATGGATAAAATGCATGAATTGGTAGGTGACAGATGACTATTAAATATATTAAAATATTATTTATCTAATAAGAGAAATGCAAATTAAAAGTTTAGATGTGCAAAATTTTAAAGTTTGACAAACTTTCGGTAAGCCTTTAAGGAAGTGCATTCGCATACATTGCCAGTGCGATTACAAAATGATATATAGAGCAATTTAACAGCTGTCATCCAAAATTACAAATACTTAAATCTTTTCACATGAAACCCTACTTCTGGGATATATTTGCATGTGTGCATATGATGTATGTAAAAGGCCATTCATTGAAACGTATTTGTAACTGGATACCCGTCATTCGAGGACTAAATAAAAATACATTTATTGATGCATATTAAGAAGTTTTACAAAAAAGAATAGGGACAGTTATTTATACCTAATAAAAGTTAGTGTTAAGTGAAAAAGGGTAATGTTCTGAAATAAGTGTGTAATATACTATGCTGTATTTCTGAAGAGGGAGAAAATGTGTATGTTCCTATATTTGCAAACAAAACTGGAAGTATGTATAAAAAAACAGTGATTATGAGGAAAGCTACCGAGATAACACTTTACAGGTTTCCTTTGCTGGAGACACAGTGCAATGATAAATATCTGTCATCTATATAAAATTTTTAAGGTAAAAAGACATATAACTTCTCAGAAACAAAATGATCTCTAGTGAACCATAATCTGAACAGAAACACATTAGGGAAACTGACACTGATATATCTATTACTCAGTGACCAGAAGTTAACAGGTTTCAAGTAGGGATCCAGGATAAAATAAACCAGGTGGTAAATACAGCAATGCAAGCAGCTATGCACTTCACTACTTTTGACTCAATAGGCCTAATGTACTGGAAATGTGGCACTAATGATGTTTGTGTGAAGCAGGTATAATCTCATTTGGAACAAATTCATGACCTCTTAGGTAAATAATTCACCTCATGAGAAACAGTTCTTAGCCAGGGATTAGGTTTAATGGAGACTGTCCCTTATGAATTGGATGCTACTTGATTCCAAATAAAGTTGAGCATGTCCAGCAGCACCTCTCAAGAGAAAATGCTGAATGACAGTCTAGAAAACTATGCCATACTGCCATCCCTTACTCAATCTCTCAATATGAAGGGTTCCTAAAATTGGTTGGCTAAGGGGAAAAAGTTGGAACCTAGTATTCTAAGGAGAATGGAAGCCACCAGAAACTAAATCTTGATAAGTTTTTCTAACAACTATATCGAATGACAAAAATAAGGCCACACATGATCCACAGCTTCAGCATAACTACCCTGTTTCCCCGAAAATAAGACAGTGTCTTATATTAATTTTTGCTCCCAAAGATGCGCTAGCTCTTATTTTCAGGGGATGTCTTATTTTTCCATGAAGAAGAATACAGTACGCATTTATTGTTAAATGAAAATAAAGGAAATTTATTACCTGTATATGGTATGGTAGTACGGTAGTTGTCAACACAAACCAGACAAACTGAATCCTACAGTATCAAGAATTTACTCATTGATTCAATGACAATCATGTCATCATCATCTGGAACATCATCATAACAATCCAATTCCTGAATATCCTGGTGAATTTCTTGTGACTCCATTTCTTTCAGAATCAGTGGACCAAATCTCTCATGTTTAGCCTAGGGGGGGGGGGCCTTATTTTTGGGGGGATGCCTTATATTGTATTTCACTCAGAAGGAAACCTATAAGTAGGCCTTATTTTCGGAGGATGTCTTATTTTCAGGGAAACACGGTAGAGAACACTATAATCAACTGTCAAATATACAATGCAGTATTAATTATAGTCATCATGCTGTACATTTCATTTCATAACTTATTTTACAGCTATAAGTTTATTCTTTTTAGCCACTTGACCCATTTTATCCTCCTCTGGCAAACACCAATTTATTATCTGGATTTATTAGCCCATGTTTTTATTTTGTTTTGAGACTCCACATCTAAATGAGATCATATGAGCCGAAACCGGTTTGGCTCAGTGGTAGAGCTTCAGTCTGCGGACTGAAAGGTCCCAGGTTTGATTCTGGTCAAGGGCATGTACGTTGGTTGCAGGCACATCCCCGGTAGGGGGTGTGCAAGAGGCAGCTAGTCGATGTTTCTCTCTCATCGATGTTTCTAGCTCTCTATCTTTTTCCCTTCCTTTCTATAAAAAAATCAATAAAATGTATTTTAAAAATAAATAAAAATAAATGAGATCATATGATATGTGTTTTTCTTTGACTTATACTCAGCATAATGTTCTCAAGGTCATCCATATTGTCACAAATGGCAAGATTTCCTTTAATATGGTTGAAATATATATATATGTAATTTACATTTTATAAATTTATATGTTATAAATAATTTATACATATTATATATATATATATAAAATATACAGCAAACTGCGGCTTATGTGTCACATGCAGCTCTTTGGCCCCTTGAATGTGGCTCCTCCACAAAATACCATGGCCTGGGCGAGTCTATTTTGAAGAAGTGGCGATAGAAGAAGTCTTAAGTTTTAAAAATTTGACTCTCAAAAGAAATTTTAATCGTTGTACTGTTGACATTTGGCTCTGTTGACTAATGAGTTTGCCTACCACTGTACTAGTGGCCCGCTGTATGAAGAGATTCATACAATAGGCCTTACTTCCCCTGGCTGCCCGCACTGGTTTTCCTCTGGCACCCAGAACCCAGGCCTTCCCTCTGGCCACTGCCTTCAGTTTTCACTCCGGCTGGAGCACCCCTCCTGTAGCTCCCTCTGCCCCCCACCCTCCCCATCATAGCAGGTGTCCTGCCCTGCCCAGCCACTTCTTGACTGCATGTGTGCTGCCCAGAGGCCCTGAGTGGCTGGGGGCAGGGCGCTGCCATCTTTGTTGGGTTAATTTGCATACTCACTCCTCATTAGCTGGTGCGCTAGTGAAGTGGTGGTCAATTTTCATGTTTCTCTTTTATTAATGTAGATAAATAACATTTTCTTTATTCTTTCATCCATTGGAGGACACTTAGGTTGCTTCCATGTATTAGCTATTGTAATATTGCTGCAATGAAATGGGGGTACCTATATCATTTCAAGTTAATATTTTCTTTTCCTTCATATAAATACCCAGAAATGGAATTTCTGGATGATATGGTAGTTCTGTTTTTAACTTTTTGGTAATCTCCATACTGTTTTTATAGTGGGTGCACCAATTTATGTCTCCACCAATAGTGTACACCTTTCCTTTACATCCTCAC